TCATTTATCGTTAGAGATGCACGGCAAAACCATAACAGCCACTGTAGGAAAGCACTCGGATGGCTGCCATCCCAAACACAGACAGCAGGATTGGCAGGATGTGGAGAAATTGGTACCCTGGTTCATTGTGATGGGAGTCTGCCTCATGCCGCTGCTTTGGAAAAGAGTCTTTGTAACAAAGTTACCATATGACCCAACAGTGAGCAGTTCTATTCCTAGGTAGATAACAAAGAGACCTGAAAATATATGCTCATAAAACGTCAGGTGTGAGTGTCCATAGCAGCAAGATTCACAATAGCCCCACAGTGGAAGGACCCCAAATGCCTGTCACTGGTAGGTGGATAAACAAAGTGGACCAAGAGATGAGGCACGACTTGGAAGGGACACTGAAGCTCACGGATCCATGCGGCTCTGAGGACTGGAGAGGAGAGGGCCAGGGGCCACGAGAGGAAGAGAAGAAAGGCATCGCTCAAGAGAGCGAGCGGTTCTGAGGCCCTGGAGAGTTGACGCCCACGTTCTAGAGGAAGTCCAGTAAGCAGGGTCACCAGGCAGGGGAACAGCAGGGAACAGTCTCAGAGGCAGGAAGGTCTGCTAGGGGTGCAGAGGACAGGGCCGACATCCTTCGGAGGAAGCCATAGTCTGCAGACGGCACCGTGAAAGCTCCTGACCCAGCACCGGGGCAGAGTGGGGTCTGGTTGGCAGCAGGTCCCGGCTCGCCACCTCCTGCCTTGTGGAGGAAAAGCGGACCTGAGATCTGTTGGCCTGACTTGGCCTCCGTCGTCCTTCAGAGCATTGTCGTTCTCCCAGCTTCCTCGTGGAAGCAGCCAGGCGCTGGCCTGTCAGTGTAGATGGCCCAGGGCTCTGTGTCTTCCCCCAGAAGGAAATGCCACCAGGGCCCCCATTCCTGCCTGTCCACTCTGATGCCCACATGGGCTTGGGGTGGGTGTGTGGCCTCTGCAGGGCCTAGCAGCTGGTCTCGCTGTTTCACGCCCTAATGGACCTCAGGTAGGAGAACCTGTAGCTCCCTGCGGCATTCAGCTCTGCTCTTTAAACATCTGGGTCACAGATACGCTCAGCTAATTAATGTTCCTGGCTTTGCTCATTTGCTGCTGGATAATAGATTGATTCATAATTTTAATAAGCAGCTGTGTCTATCTTTCCCGTGAACGTAAAGGCAGCTTGCTGTCATTCATCACTTTGCATTTGGTGAATTTAGATATATTCAGGGGATGTTGTTTAGGGAGGGGAGGGTGGGCTTGTGATTTTCTCACCATTTTGCCTGGGACAATGACTCTGATTTGGAACTAATTGGGTGTAGAACACACATTCACCGCTTCTCTCTCAAGGGCACTTAATAGACTCCCTGTCACTTGTTCAAGGGGAGCAGGCAGGCTCCCTTTGGGGATCAGAGCCAAGGGTTTGTGAGTCACTTTCCCCAGGAGATGAGAATCTTCTCCACCAGAGAAGGCTCACTCATGTCCCCGAGCAGAGCTGCCTTCTCAGCCACTCTTGGGCAACAGCACCCAGGCTCTCTGAAGAGGCGAGGGTCCTCCAGCAACCTGGGATGAGGCCTCCCTCTTGCTGGTTAGCTGCTGGACCAGGGGTCACTAGGTCTCCAGGGAGCCACAGGGAGAGACCAGGACTCAGCCAGGTGACCAAATATGTTCATGCCTCAGTTTCCTTGACTAGAAAATGGGGACAATAATAACGCCTCTCTCACTGAGTCCTGAGTGTCACATCACCACTCCCTGTGTGGCACTGGGAATGACTCGGGGTGTGTCTTCAACGTCTGCCGTTAATGACTGCCAGCCACCTGGCACGTGGGGTTAGGAGAGCACGGACGAGAGCTGTGCTGGCCTCCCCCCGGGGTCCTCACCATCACCAACCTGTGCTGCATCCTCTCAGTGAGAACACAGCCCCGTCCTTCTGCTCCCAGAAGCTCGTGGCTGAGCTGGGTTTGAGGACTCCTGGCAACATGCCCGTGGAGTCCAACTGGGGGGACGTGGCTTCAGGGTTTTTCACTTATTTTTTTATTTGTTCTTTTTAGATATACACGACAGTAGAGTGTATTTTGACATGTCATGCATACGTGGAGTAGAACTTCCCATTCCTGTGGTTGTACGTACTGTGGAGTAACACGGGTCGTGTATTCATGTCAGGATAGGAAAGATGGCTCCAGTCCACTCTTCTGTCCTTCCTATTCCCATCCCCCTCCCTCCCCTGCATTCCCCTTTGTCTAATCCCATGAACTTCTATTCTTCCCTACCTGCTTATTGGTGGGTTAGCATCCGCATATCAGAGAGAACATTCAGCCTTTGGTGTTTGGGGATTGGCTTATTTCACTTAGCATGATAGTCTCCAGTTCCATCAGTTTACCAGCAAATGCCATAGCTTCATTCTTCTTTATGTGCATATACACCACATTTTCTTATCCATTCATCAGTTGAAGGGCACCTAGTTTGGCTCCATAGCTTAGCTATTGTGAATTGAGCTGCTATATACACTGATGTGACTACATCACTCTAGTCTGATAATTTTAAGTCCTTTGGGTATAAACCAAGAAGTGGGATAATTGGGTCAAATGGTGGTTCTATTCCTAGTTTTCGGAGGAATCTCCATACTTCCTCCATAGTGGTTGCACCAATTTGCAGTCCCACCAGCAGTGTATGGGTGAACCTTTCCCCCCACATCCTTGCTAATATTTGTTGTTGCTTGTATTCTTGATGATCACCATTCTGAAGGAGTGAGATGAAATCTCAGTGTTAAGTTGCATTTCTCTAATTGCTAGAGATGATGAACATTTTTTCACAAATGTGTTGACCATTCATATTTCTTCTTCTGTGAGGTGTCTATTCAGTTCCTTAGCCCATTTATTGACTGAGTTACTTAGTTTTTTTTTTTTTTTTTTGGCATTAAGTTTTTGAGTGCTTTATATATCCTGCAGATTAGTGCTCTATCTGAAGTTCAGGTGGCAAAGATTCTCTCCCATTCTGTAGGCTCTCTCTTCACATTCTTGATTGTTTCCTTTGCTTGAAGGAGCTTTTTAGTTTGATACCATTCCATTTATTGATTCTTGATTTTACTTCTTGTGCCTCAGGAGGTTTGTTGAAGAATTCAATTCCTAAGCTGACAGGATGGAGAGTTGGGCCTACTTTTGCTTCTGACCAGCCAAAAATACTATAGCCAGCAAAATCAAGCTTCAGAATTGAATATTGAAATAAAAACATCCCATGATAAGCAAAAATTTAAAGAATTCACAACTAGAAAGCCTGCACTACAAAACATACTCAATAAAATATTTCATGAAGAAGAACTGCAAAATAAAAGTGAAAACAGCAAAGGGAGGAACTGCACTAGAAAATTAGTCAATCAAAGGAGAAACTGATTCAAATTAAAAACCAGAAATAAATCAAAATGACAGGGAATAAAAATCATCTCTCAGTAATAACATGGAATGTAAATGGCCTACACTCATCAATCAAAAGACACAGACTGGCATATTGGATTAAAAAACAAGAGCCAACCATATGCTGTCTCCAGGAGGCTCCAGTTTTTCAATGATGATCCTCACCACGTGGACAACCTGCTTTTCTGTGAACATGCTTTCAGCACTTGCTCTGTGATTTGCTTCTGGCAAGAAATGAAATTAATTAGAGTTAGTCCTGCCCCTCAAATAGGTGAATGCATTTTTTAAAAGTTAGAGTGTGATTTTTAACTTCCATGGACAGGAAAGGCAGGGCAGGGGAAGCCTCAGCCTACGGGTGCTGTCATGGTCAGGGGTGCCAGGCATACCGTCTCTGGGTTGGTCAGCAAGTGCTGCGTAACAATAGTCGCCCCTGTATCCACAGGTCGGCTGGTGGTTCTGGGATCTGGACCAGGCTTAGCTGATGTGGGCTGGGTCCAGTCATACACCCGCTCTCCTCAGCTGGCACGCTGGCTGAAGGCTCCCTGTCCAGGGGCCTCCTCCACTTTGGCTCTCTGGTGGGCCAGCAGCAAGTCAGCCAGGGCTACACCCAGGGCAGGAGAAAGGCCCTGGAGCAAACAGGGCTAAAGGCCACATCCTTGTTTCTGCTGCACTCCATAGGCCAAGGTGTGTCACGGGAAGAGAGGACCCGCTTCCTAATGGAAGGTGCCATACAGCTGTGTTGGCAAGGGGGACAGAAGGAAGAGGGCAGACGTGGCCACTTCTGCAACCAACTTGCACAAAGCAACCCCCAGGATCGTGCTGCCATTTAGCAGGCCCCTGCTTAGTGTCAAACATAAAATTTTGTTCCCAATTCTGATTATTTTCTTGGAATAGATTTCTAAAAGTGGATTTATTGAATCAAAGGTAGTAAATGTTTTAAAAGCAAAAAAGTACATATTTAGAAATCACCCTGTTGAAATGTTGTAGGAATTACCCTCCCTCTAGCCCTACTGTGAGAGGGGACAGTTCCTATCTTAGGCTAACACTTGCCAAAATGTGAATAATCTTTTTTAAAATGTGGTATCTCACTTGTGTTTTCACTTTTTATTTCTTCCAAAGCCTGCCTATGGATTCTAATGTCCATGTCTTCTTCACTGAATTGGCTCTCTGGTCCCTTCCCAGCAGGGTAGAATTCATGAATCTCAATTTACAAAGAGGAGGACATGGGGACTCAGAAAGGCTGAATGTCTTGTTCAAGGTGACTCAGCAGCTGGAAGCAGGGCCAAGCTTCAGAAATCACATCCCTGGTCCCTCCTCCTATTCCCACTCCCCTGTGGGCTGGACAGAAAGCTGGTCCTGCAACATTGAGGACTTAGAAAGCACATCAGAACGAGACTCTGGGAGAGCTGTCCCCAGGCCCAGCAAGCTGAGGGCTTTTGGATGGGGCTGTCCTGCAAGTTGGGTGCATAGGGTGCCTGTCAGAACTGAGATGGTGGCGAGGACAGCAGGGTGGACCGAGGCAGAGGTGGGCTGCACCGCAGAGCCACGGTTGCCCTCCGGCCTCAAGCCACTCCCACCCCTGCTCTCTCTGCAGCTTGCACGCTACACCAAGGAAGGCTTCCTGCACCTGGGGGCCCTGGGGACCACCACACTGCTCCCTGACACCCGCTGCCTGGTGGACAACTCCAAGAGCCGGCTGCCCCAGCTCCTGGACTGCGACAAGGTCAAGACCAGCCTCTACAAGCGCTGGAACTTCATCCAGGTGAGGGCTCCGCCAACAGGACCATGGTCAGGGCAGTGCAGAGGCTGCAGGCCACAGAGGAAAGTCCAGGCCCCCAGGTCCCCAGCAAAGTACATCCCAGAGCCAGGTCTCCCAGCCCCTGGCCAGGCTTGTGGACACAGGGCATGTCCCAGGAGTCGTCAGGAGAGCTTCTGTGGGCAGCAACCTGCCTGGTTCCCACGCCATTCGAGGTTGGGGATTCTGATGGACCCAGAGAGGGGAGTGTGGGAAGGACCCCTGGACCTGCCCAGTACCACGGCCAAGTAAGGCTGGGGAGTCAGACCTCAAATACCCCAGGAGGTTCGTCCTCCCGATTCAGCCACCCCGATGCTCATCTCATGTCCAGCCACAAGGGCTTGGGGAGCTCACTTATGTTCTGACCTTAAGGTCTGCAGGGGACGCGCCCGTGACCCCTCTGCTGTGTGAGGGATATTGGTGGAATGTGTTCCCCATGGGGTGTGCCTGCCCAGAGCTGTGGAGGTTAAGAGTCCCTCCCTCTCTCCCTCTCCCTCCTTTGCCCTCCTCCCTCCTTTCTTCTCCCTCCTTCTCTCTCTCTCCCTCCCTCCCTCCCTTTTCCCTCTCACTATCTCTCCCTCCCTCCCTCCATCCCCTCTCCCTCTCTCCCTCCCACTCCCTCCCTCCTTTTCCCCCCTCCCTCCCTCTCTCCCTCCCTCCTTTCCACCCCCCCCCTTCCTTCTTACTCTCTCTGCCCCCAGAATGGAGCCATCATGAATAAAGGCACAGGGCGCTGCCTGGAGGTGGAGAACCGGGGCCTGGCCGGCATTGACCTCATCCTCCGCAGCTGTACAGGACAGAGGTGGACAATCAAGAACTCCATCAAGTAGCCAGAGGAGCTGGGCCACCGGGCGCCCAGCCCAGGACAGGGCCAGTCCGTCCTCAGGCCCAGCCCACGTGGTGGAGAGAGACAACAGGGGCCAACAGGTGCTGGGTGGGGCCCAGGCTCCTGCAGGACAGCCGGGGACCCCAGAGGAAGACTCCATGTCCCCTGTGGCGTTCAGCCACCCTAAGTTTCCTACACCCTGGAAAAGCCCCCGATGCTTCTCTGGGAAACCAGGAGCTGTCCTCTGCATCCCCAGAGGTGGCCTGGGACCAAGGGGCGAGACTGTCCATACCTCTGCACCATCTCCCACCCCAGGGTCAGCATCTGGGCCTGGCAGGGTCCCCTCCTCTTCTCATCCTTTGCCGCCGCAGCAGCTTCTGAATTTCAACCCCACCCTCAGTGAAATGGGGCGGGTGGAGCCTCAGCCACATTGGAGACCCACCCTCGAGAGGGCAGGAGCCTCCAGACCCCATTTCCACTGAGGTTGCTTCTGCTCAGATGCCTCCTCAAGCCCAAGGCAGGTGCTGTCCCCGAAACATCCCATCAGGGTGGCTTTGGGGCTACAGCTCTGGCGCCAGGTTCCTATGAACGCTCATGGACCAGCAGCCCAGCCTATGTCCTGCTGAAGGGCCCCACAGGTGGGAGCCAGGCTGAGGCCACAGTCCTGGCTCTTGGAGCAGCCAAGGTCTCCCTGCAGCGAGAGGGCCGCAGAAGCCAGCCTGGAGCCCGCAGAGGAAGCTCAGAAGACCTGCTCTGCTCGCCGCAGTGCAGGCCACGCTGGACCCTGGGCAGGGAACAGCCATGTCCTCCTGGGAGTGGGGAGTGTTGCTTCTTTCCAATTGCCCTCTGGTTAGGGTGCACTTGTAAATCAGAGTTAATATATGGACGCGTGCGTGCACGGAGCGAGTGGCCAGGTGCGTGTGTCTGAGTGTGAGTGTGTGGTAGAGCAGAGGCAGCGCGGGGCCTCGACTGCTCGACTGCCCCATGGGACGAGCTGCTGAGGAGCCGGGGGTCGGCCCCACGTTCCAGCGGAGGACGAGACTTAGCCTTGCCTGCTGTGGTGCCCCTCTGCCGCTTACCCCTCTGCCATGGCCGTCCTTGGCCAACCCTGCCCGGAACCAAACCCTGTAGCTGCCCCGTTGCCCTGCGTGGGGTTCCCAGAGTCTCCTCCGGTGACATCCCGTTGGCGATCTCCCCGCCCCATCTCCCACCTGTGAAATAAACACAGTCGTGCTTCCCAGTGGCCTCCAGGGCTTCTTCATTGCTCCAGAGCCCAGCTCGGGAGGGCCTCTGAGCAGCAGCGGGTGGCTTCTTGGCAGTTAGGCTGAGACAGAGCCCTCTGCCCCAGGCACACCCTCCTTTGCCCCAAAGCTTCACGGGGTGTGACCCTTGATCCCAGCTCACTCACCCTGGTTGAGCCTGGGTTAGGAGGTCAGTGTGCAGGGGAGAGTGGAGGCTGCCAGGGGCAGAGTTCCTGCTGCCCGGGCCTGGCCTGCGGACCCACCCTCCTGCTGCTCCCAGCAGTGCCTAGCTCTCCACAGGGCCTGCAGCGGCAGCACCTGCCTGTGGGGTGCTTGTGGGAGCAGGAGACCCCACAGGACGCCCCCGGGGTGGAAACACATGGGAGTCATGCAGGGCCTCGGCTCTGCCTGCCCCAGCTCCTCTTCTGGGAGGAAGCCAGAAGACCCATCTGGTTCAGTGTCACCTGACACTCTGCACGTGCCGGTTGCCACTCTGCTTTTGGGTCATTCATGAATTGGAGTCCACAATCATATCAATGGAAAACGTCATCGGGCAATGGAGTTTGTGGGCTGAAACATCAGCGTCCAGGGTAACTGTGGTGTGAAGACAGGGCCAATGCTTCAGGCTGATGTGTCGCCCATGCCCAGGGCCAGAAGCCAGCCAAAGGTGGGAGGGTGCACCTGTACCTGGGCTCCCGCCTGCTGCCTGGCTGCTCTCCTTTAGTGCCACAGGGGAGCAGTGTGTGTTTATGGGGGTGCTGCTTTAGACCCCCAGGGGGTCTTTCCCTCTGGCACCTACAGGGCTCCAGGTCTCTGAGCTGGTCCTTGATTCCAGGGCCAATATCATGGAGTGTCCATCCCATCAGCACCAGCTGCTATCGGATCCTTTCAGGGATGGCGACCCCTCGAGAGACGGGCCAGAGCATGAGGTCAGCATCCAGGTCAGAAGCCTCTTCACCCAACCCCTGGGGTCCTGCCTGGGCCCGATGGCAGTGGGAATGCCAGGGTCAGGCAGAGAGGAGAAGCTGATGCAGCTGGAGAGGGAGGGAGAGAAGAAAGGGGAGGACTGAACTACTGCATAGTGCCCATGGCTTGCACAGTGAGCTGCCAAGGCTGGGAGCTTCCCCCCTCCCGGCCTGGAGCCCCTGGGAAGCACACACACCTTCCCCAAACGCTGGCAGGGGCTCCCCCTGCAGTTTGAGACAAGGCGAGCCAGTCCCCCTCAGGTGGCACGGCAGAGGGGCTGGCCCGGCTGTGCCCTGCTGCCCCTGCGCACCTACCCTCGGGCTCGCCTGCTCGCCTTTTCTTTCTCCTTCCCCCTTGGTTTACACTGCAGAAAACTTCACAGATGGCACGTCTGATAAATGTCCAAGCCACCCAAGCCCGTGTCTCTGAGTCTACACGTCTCTCCTCACTGTTTTGTCCTTATTGTACTTATTCGGGTGAGAAGAGGAAACTAGAAAAGCCCCGGACAGCGGAAACGGGGCTGGAGCCACCTTCTGAAGCCACTAAGTCACTTGACTCAGGCTTCACTCATTTTTTTTCCCCATCTGATATTTTTTTCTACCATTCTTGGAAAATGCCTGGGTTTCACAGGACGCCCAGGCAGAGCGGGCCACCCTTCAGGGCTTTGCGGGACGAGAGTTGTCCCTGACTCACATGCTATTTGTCTTCCTCCCGTTTTGTTTCAAATGCTCTGGGAAGGGCTGAGTGACAGCTGGCTGGGAGGGCCTTGGAGTCTGTCTAGGGAGCCAGGTGGCTCAGGAGGCCTGGACAGGCCAGGTGGCTGGACTCAGGTGCCCCACGCCCACTCACGACCAGTGAGTCAGCCTCCCTTTTGATTGGGGCTCCAGCTAGGCAGTTGGGTGGCAGGTCCTCCGTCCCTCGCCATCCACTGCCTCCTCTCCTCGAATCCCAAATTCCCAAATGTTTTGGCAACGCTGCTTCTCGTCCATGAGGCACGTATTCTGAACCTGCGTTTGGGGATCTGTGATGGACCCCAAACTCCAGAGGTGTATTTCAGTTCAGTTCTTCAAATACATTTGAACACCTCTCTAGTGATTTGCTTTTTCACACATTGGAAAAGGGACGGGATTGGGGGGGGCGGGTCAGGGAGAGAGCAGGCAGCTAGATGCCCTGTCTTCGCCCTTCAATGCTCATATTTGAGAGAAGAAAGCAGATGCCATACACTGTCACTCCCGTGCCTGGAACGTGGCAGCCCTAGAGGGGTTGGCATGAGGTCCAGACCGCAGGCTGCCCATTCCAGGGTCCTCTCCCCCGAGAGCCAGGGGAGAGGTGGATGGATCTCGCCTGCGTGGCTCCTGGCTGCCCTTGATCTGCGGCCTGCTAACAAGGGCTCCTGATGCTAACTGCAAAGTGCAGAGAGATGAAGAGCAAAGCAGGCCAGGAGATGCCCTGGAGGCCATTGGACCCAGCCGATGACCACCATCGTCCGTAACAAATAGTATCTGACGTTACTCCAGGATCAAAGCCCCATCTAACCCCTCCCCTAACGGATGCCCATCCTCCCAATCGGTATCTGCTTCATAATTCTACAGACAGACTGATTCTACAGACAGACTGATTCTACAGACAGACTGATTCTACAGACAGACTGATGGAGGGTGGAAAGAGCCCTTCCCGACAGTGAGCCAGGCAAGCCCAAACCTCAGGGGCCTCTTCCCTGCCCCACCCCCTGCAGCCGTGGAGACAACAGCTGCGCCTTCTGCTGCCCGCCCAGGGGAGCTGCCCGTCAGCCCCCTCTCAATGTCCAGGCTACCAATCATGGCCCAGAGAGGCCACTCCAATTCCACTGCCGGCCAGCTGGAGAAGTGGCTAACCTGGGCTGGAGAAGCCAGACGCCCATTCCCAAAGGACTGGCCTCAAGTGGCTGGAGGTTTCCATATCATGTTCCTCAAGGGAGGTACCGGGTGTGGTCCTAAAGAACCAAGGGAGGTACCGGGTGTGGTCCTCAGGTTGCTGTGACATGTCTCCAGGATGTGTGGATGGGAGTGGCTTCTGCTCACCGTTCTGCTATGGCTGACTCTTAAAATAAATAAAAAACAACTTACAGGTGAACAGGAGCCCTGCAGAGGGGGTGAGGGGGTGAGAGTTCACAGCTGGACCCGCGCCCTCCAGGCTTGCTGACGGGCACTGTCATCTGTGGGGTGTGAACGTGGCACCAGCCACACGAGCACTGTCCTTGCCACACCCGCCTTTCTGGAACACCAGCGTTTTGAAGCATCCACCCACTACTGATTTATTCCTGTGAGCCCAGTGCCCACCTCTGCCGAGGGTGTGGCTAAGGATAAAACACAGTCCTGTGGGGCCTGGGATGGGGACGCATCCTGGGATGTGCATCACAGTGCAGGAGGGACAGAGGGAACACGGCAGCGCTGTGTCAACAGGCCACAGAGGCTCACAGCACCGCGGGGCACTTGACAGTCGTGAGGACATCGGGCAGGGTCCTGACTCTCTAGTGTCCCTTGAGGGACGAATGTCTGCATGAAGCCTGCACCTGCATCACTTCCCCCATGATAGTTGTCACAGAACCATTTCACACCACGTGACACAATCGCAACCACAGTTCCGCAAGGCGCAGTCCACACCCATCGGCCATGCAGACAGTGCTGAGGATGCTCACTGTGGTGTCCAGGTAGTTCTCAGGTGGAGGCCCCCGGTGGGAGGACCTGAGAGGCAGGGCGGAGGCCAGCCACGCCCAGCTGGAGGAGCCCAGCCCAGGGGCTTCCCGCTGCCAGCTCTTGAGCTTGAGGAGGAGGTGGGACCAGCGGACCCCCAACAGCCTCATCTCAGGAGAAACCCGATCCTGCTCATGGTGGTGTTTTGAACCCCTGCTTCTCTGCTCCTTGCTCACTGGGTCATTCCCAACTTGATACCTACACGGAGAAAACAAAACCTGAAGGTGACATTGATCGCAGAATCTTTTCACTTAATTCTCGGTGGGTAGTAAGGTTTCGCTGGCAGGAGGCGGGAGAGCCTGTGGAATGCCCTGGGGGTTCCTGGGGAACCTCCTCAATGCCCTCGTGCTCAGAGGTTCTCCTGGTGCGCTGCTCGCTGGTGGCTACATACCCCCTCTCCCTGGTCGGGGGGATCTGGCCTCTCCACCAGCGCAGGGAAAGGCAGGCAGAGAATCAAGGATTCTGGAAACCTTGCAATAGACAAAGGGCATCGGCATGAATTTGGGAGATGGAGGTTTCTCCGGGGCCTTCAGCACAGCCAGTGGGTTATGGCTTGGGTAGGAGGTGTCCCCCGAAGCAGTGGGCAGGCAGGGTGGGCTGGGGGAGGCGGGCGCTGTGGGTGTCCCTGTGGGGGCTGTAGTTTGTCCCCATGAGCATGAACAGAGCTCTCTCCCTGCTCCTGGCCGTCATGAGCTGAGAGCATCCCTCCTGTGCCAGCCCTTTGGCCATATGCTCTGCTCGCCTGGGGCCCAGAGCTGTGGAGACGGCCATCTATGGACCAAACCTCTGAAACCGTGAGTCAAAATACACTCCTCTGCCTCTAAGTTGTCATTGACAGGTCTTTTGGTCACAGCAACGAAAAGCTGACTAAAACACACAGGTTAGTTGTAAGACACTTCTAATCCAGCCACGCAGTAACACCAACAACAGCTTTTAAATTATTCCTTAGAATATTTGCACTTAAAGCCATGCAAAGAGTTGGGTATTGTGGACATGCTTGTCATCCCAGCTACTTGGGAGGCTGAGGCAGGAGGATGGCAAGTTTGAGGCCAGGCTGGGCAACTTGTGCCACAGTCCGGCTGCAGCAAAATAACTGGGGGGTGACAAACAACTTGTGTACGTTGATACAGCAGGAGTGGGAGCCGTTTATTGTAGGACAACAGAGGTATTTATACATTCCACACAGCTTATCTTAATTAGCATAAACTAGATACAGCAGTCAACCAATAAGAAGTCTCCACACTTAATGGCTCGCTGGCGCCACCTCACAAACCACTCCC